ACCCCGGGCAGCGGGGCAGTCTCGGCGTTTCCTGCTGGGCTGGGCCTGGCCAGCCTGGTGCGGTTCTGCGGCCGGAGGCAGGGCAGGGCAGGGACGCGCTTCAGCGCTAAGCGCCTGGCAGGGCTCTCACGGGCGGGCGGGGAATAATCTGCTGGAAGGTGATGCTTCTCCCTACACTCCCCTCGGCTAGAAGGTGATTTACAGCCTCTAACAAGCTTGTTGATAGTCCTGTGAGAAATATGTATTGACAGGAGGTGGGAGTTAAGTTACCTCATGGCTCTTGCTGTCCTACTCAGCTGTGCATTCACGCTCTTAATCCCTACTGCAGGTAACTGCTCTTACAACATCTTTTGAATCTGCAGGAAGGAGTCTCGGAGGCTACTGAGACTGGTCTGTATGAAAACTCCTAGAAGAAATGCCAGCTGGGATGGCTCGAGATCTGGAGGAAACTGGCTCATGCTCAGAGGAGGAGGAAGAAGATGTTGTGGATGAGCTGGAGTAAGTAGGAAAAAAAAAATCCAAAACTCTTAAGCGTTTCTGTCTCCCTGTGATTCCTGCAGGGTTTGCACTAATTTGAAAAGGCAGTTGCATTCCTTACTCTCTTCCTGCCTATAAAGTGGAAGATTGTGGGGTTTGAGGTTTGGGCCTCATGCCTGTGGGCCGGACCTACGTTTGTAGCCTAAAAGCCCACCATATTCATCAGGGTTGGAGGTGCAGCTCTTCCTTGGCTACTCTGAAGCCTGTAGTTTCATTGATCTCTTCTTACCATGTTCCTGAGCTGGGAACTTCATAATGATGTTTAAGAAAATGAAGGAAAGAAATGTCTGTCTCTTTGTTTGATTAGTGTTTTGTTTTAGTTTTTAACTTACTGCAGAGAATGGAAATCTACTGTACAGTAGACTGATATGTAACGTTTTATGTCCTTTTCTGAAAACTGGCTTGTGAGAACTCAACTCCTAGAGTTCTCATTACTTATGACTTTGTTTCATCTTTGTTCAGTAACTTCTTTCATCTTTGCTTGTAAAGGAGTCGCTCCCTTAATCTTTCCCAGAGTGGAATCACTTCTGTGTTTCAGCTGGACCTACTTCAATGCGTCCTGTGTGTTTCCTTGCGGTTGCATATTGTGACTGAGTGCCTACTTGCAAACTGCATTGATTTAAGGCATTTAGAGGAATGTTACTTCATACCGAATAGTTGGTGCAGACTTGACAGACCCTCGTGGAGGGAAAGGTCCAGAACTGCCTTTACCTAGAACGTAATTGTAGCAGTGAGTCTGCATCGAGTGACCAAGGGTCATCATTAGGAATGAATGACTGTCACCTGGAGGATTGAGCCTTACTGCAAATCCTCAGGACAGGCTTAACATAAACTCCTCTCCTGTTGTCTCAGCTCATTTCCCACTTACATAAGGCTCTGGCCTGTAGTGTAAATTCTGGAAGCTTGTTGGGTCCCTTCCAGCTAATTACACCTCAGTAGTTGACTTTTTTTTTCTATAGAGGTGATGGAAGCAGGTAGGAATACTGTGGAATTAATTTGTCTGGGTGATAATGGTAACAACTTTGTAAAGAGGACCAAGGTTACGCTTAAAAGCACTTACTTGTCCTAGCATCAGAAAGATGGTCTTTTATCTCTGCTCCTGTGTTCTAAGTGTAGGAAGTGTTTTGTCTTCTTGAACTGGGCTTGCCTGGCAAGGTTTTGGTAGCAGGAGGGTTACAGGGGTGGCTTCTGTGAGAAGTTGCTGGAAGCCTTCCCCATGTCCAATGGAGCCTGTGCCAGCTGGCTCCAAGATGGGCTTTGCCTTGGCCAACAGCAGGTCCATTAGCCATGGTGGTAGCACCTCTGGGATGACATATTTGAGAAGGGGAAGAAAACCCCGAACATGTGCAACTGGAGCCAGAGAGAGGAGTGAGAATATGAGAGGAACAACCTTGCAGACACCAAGGTCAGTGGAGAAGGAGGGGAAGGAGGTGGCCTAGGTGCCGGTCCAGAGATTCCCTGGCAACCAGTGGTGCAGACCATGGTGTGCCCCCTCAGCTATGGAGGGTCATGGTGGAGCAGAGACCCCCCTGTAGCCCAGGGAGGACCCCACACCAGAGCAGGGGGATGCCCAAAAGAGGCTGTGACCCTATGGGAAGCCCACAGTGGAGCAGGCTCCTGGCAGGACCTGTGGCCCTGTGCAGAGAGGAGCCCAGCCTGGAGCAGGTTTGCTGGCAGGACTTGTGACCCCATGGGTGATCCAGGCTGGAGCAGACTGTTCCTGAAGGATAACACCCTGTGAAAGGGACCCATGCTGGAGCAGTTTGCGAAGACCTGCAGTCTGTGGGAAGGACTTACATTGGAGAATTTTGTGGAGAAGTGTCTCCTGTGGGAGGGCCCCCACACTGGGGCAGGGGCAGAGTGTGAGAAATCCTTGTTCTGAGAAGGAAGGAGCAGCAGAGACAATGTGTGATGAACCGACTGCAGCTCCCATTCCCCTTCCTCCTGTGCTGCTGTTGGGAGGAGGTAGAGAAATCGGAAGCAAAGCTGGACCTGTGAAGAAGGGATGGGTAGGGGGAAGGTTTTTAAGATACGGTTTTGTCTCTCATTATCCTACTCTGATTAGTTTTGCCTGTGACAGTGATTGCTAAGTGATGTCTCCCTGTCCTTATCTTGACTCACAAGCATTTTGTTGCAGTTTCTCTCCCCTGCCCAGCTGAGGAGGGCAGTGACAGTGGCTGTGGTGGGCACCTGGCCTCCAGCCAGGGTCAACCCACCGCACTTCCGTGGTTTCTCCAAACCTTTGGCAGACAATCATCTTGCACATCCTATAGAGAAATGCTTCTGTGTATCTCTGTTAATCTTTATATTTCTCCTTGTCTCTGTAGGTAGAGAAGTCTCTCAGCTCTTCAATCTCTGTTTTCTGTTAACTTTTTCATGTTTCCATTTCCTTGCACAGTGAGTAATAAGCACTCTGAGTTATAATTGCTTAGGGAGGTTAACAGGTTTTCTTTCTGTGATTTTTAGGGTTTTATATAACAGACCTTAATTTTTTGAGTGTGTGTCCTTACTACCCCTGAAGAGATGATAGTTCCCAATGTAGTCTTGCTGTTTTGGACAGAACTGATCACTGTATCTTGGAACCTGTAGCTTCAGTGGCTGGCTGGGGTCATCATTGTTGAATTCTGAGCTTACATTCCATGGCTTCTGGCAGAAATTAGAAAGGAAGAATACACAAGTTTATCCATTATGCTGAGCCAAGTCTGTTCTAGTCTCAAACTCTGCCTGAGTGCCTTCCTGTGCACTTCAGAGTCCAGGATTACAACCAGGCAGCATGCACTGGTTTGCAGTTCTTAAATTTGAGACTGGAACCTGCATGCTAAGGTTGTGTGGATACCAGCAATTACGGTTTATCCTGTGTTAGGTCTTGTTTTCAGGCTATGAATCCAGAGAACTGTTGCTGTGAAAATTCATGGGGTTTCTCCCAAATTACACTTAGTAAAATGAATACAAATTACATAGAACTCTGTCTTGACTGGCAAGACCAACCCAAAAAGAGGATGATCTGGCATATTCCCTTTAAGCTAAGCACCAGGGGTGCCTAGCATGTGTGTGAGTCAGCACAGGCAGGGCGCAGGGACAACCACAAAACCACAGCTGAAATCCAGAGAGTAAATTTACTTTCATTACCTCACCAACCTGGGTGGAGGCACGCAAATGAAGTCACAGGCACTGTGGGGCCCGGTCCTTGTTAGAGAATGGTCAAACCTGCTGTTTGTGCCTGTTTTTCAGGGATTCACGCAGGCGCGGTCTGCCGCTCCGCTTTGATCTTTCCCACAGCAGGGCAGGATCTCTACTGTGTTCAGTGAGGTGCTTGTTAGTCTATCACAGGCCTGTGCTGTCTGAACACACGTTCAACTTGTTGAACACACATTCTGCTTGTCAAACACACAAGGATAGACAGCAATTAGAATGAGAGATGAATTTTTCTGCACCCCAGCTGCAAGTTGCTTGAGTGTGTTTACAATCCTCTGCCTCATCTCCCATTATTTTCACACAGTGTTTGCCTGTGTTCTGCCTGCGGGCTGAGTGGGCAAGTATTGCTGTGTCCTCATCGTAAGCAACTGCTGTCCGCGGGAGGCTCAGCAGCTGCTTATACCGACTCCCTTGCCGTTTCAGGGACCATCCGTGTATCAAGTGGACTGGCGGTGGCTGCAGGCGGATCCCCGTCCTGGTGTTCCACGCTGAAGCCATTCTGACCAATGACAGCTACCTCCGCCTAATTGGAGGTGGGTGCAACTGTGTTCTACCTCATGCCTTCAGGCCAACAGCTGGAAGTCTCTTACCTGGACGTTCCCTTCTTCTTGTGGTGGGGAAAGAGGACATGGAAATTACAATCCTATCTTTGAGTGCTGGGGTGTTCAGAAACGCTTGATCAGTTGGTGAATGTTTATCACGGCCTGGGGTTGTGACAAGTGTTGGTATTTGTCACTCCGTTGGGTCCTGATGAGTTGAGTTGGACCTGTCTACTTGCGACTTGAACGTGCTAAAACTTACAACCAGAATATGAAATTCACTCTGTAGCTAAGAACTTAAAATTGATCTTTGCAGTGAGTTTTGAGTGGGAAACAAAGCAGCCAGCCCCACAGTAAGCTGTAGTAACAAATCTCTGTGCCTGCAGCTTCACAACTGTGAGTGAGGCCATAAGCCAAAGGATCACTGCTCTGGCAGCGCTTGAGTCGGGAGACCAAGCCTGTGTAGAGTCAAATAACGGAGAGCCTCTAAATAAGAGGCAGAGTTGTTATAAACAGTCACTCTGGATTGCGAGAGTTAGTACTTGCGGGTGTGGACAGCTGGGAACTCATTCGGGATGTGCTGAGTTGGAGAAAAGCTAAAGTCTACTCAGCTTCTTTTTGTGAAGATGCTGACACTTCTCTCTTGCTTCTCCCTTTCTTAGGTAATTGGTGCCCTCATTTCTAATACCCTATTCAAGCAGAAATGTTTCTGGTTTACTGGGGTAAGGGGTGGAGAAGGTGATTTGTGTGTAGAAACTCCTGATCCTTTTCACCACAGTTAAAAACATCCGTGAATGGGGCAGAAGCTCATGGTAACTGTAACTTGTATCCCAACTGGAGTGAGGTGTCTCGTCTGCTTTTTTTGCAGGAGGCAGAGCCTTTTTGTGGTTTAACAATCCTGCTGCTAGATAGTGCAACTTGTTACATTTTCTTGATCTCTGTTTGGTCCCAGATCATGATAATTCTTACACTTTAGACTTATTGGTAGAAGATATTTCCTGAGGCTTAATCTTCATCCTTCTATTCTCAGTTTGAACCAATTTTTAAAGTGCCTTTTCTACGCGATTCTGTATTCTACCATTGCAATTTCTGCCTCTGCTTTCTTTGAACTCTTTTTAGGGATTGCTACATCCTTTTGTATGACAACTGGCCTCTAGTCTTGCTACTCGCTTTCTGTTTATCTTGCACCTCCAGTGCTGCTTACTCCTTTTGTTTTTATGACTTTCTACTTGGATAGGATTTTCTTTTTCTTGTCCTATTTATTTTTTCCTACTATTTTTTTTAAGTGCTTTATTGAAAGATCAGCACAGGTGAATGAGATATGAACAAAAATTCAGTGTTCTGGGTTTCAGGATTGGAAAAGTGATCATATATGCCCCTCACTGACATAGTTAGCTTATGGCATGATTACTTTTAGCTAGGAAGACGAATCTTGAATGGAGAAGAAAGAGCTGACATCGTTTGGAGTGTTATAAAGCAGTCTATATAAAGAACTGTTAAAAAAAAAAATCTGGGTGTTTATTAGGATGTCCTGTGGTTTATTTTGATATGACAGGGATTGGTGGGGCAGCAGTATTATACCTGAAGGATTGATGTCAGTCAGTTCAATGCTGTCCTTGGGATTAGTGCCCTAAGAGATGGATGGGCATTTCCTATCACCCTTTGCCCGTTATGTGCTGCTGCTGTGTGGATACTCCGCTGTGGGTTAAGTGGAGCTGCACCGTGCTGAGTCCTTTGGTGCTCTTCTCGGTTAGCATAGGTAACTGATTTATCCTTCTAGGTGCAGGCTGTAATATCGTGTCTCTTGCCCTCTTAACAGAGCGCTACCACTTGTCCTATAAGATTGTGCGAACAGACAGCCGTCTAGTTCGAAGCATTCTGACTGCCCATGGATTCCATGAGGTAAGTGCAATGAACTTCCTTCACATCTGATTATGTACTGGGCTGGGAGGTGGGAATGGTGATTATTACAGTTCTGGGGTTTTTTTGTGTGATGTTTTTTTAACTTTACGCTGTGGGGTTAGAACCAGGATGTTGCTGTGCCGCCCACCCCCGCCCCCTTGAGGTTTTCTTACATATTCTGCCAGTCAGACAGGAAGTGTGTCATGATTTTGTTCTCAAAGGAGTACCCTTAAGCCTGCAAAATTAGGGGGGAAAAGGGATGCTGACGTTGGGTCATGTCTTGTTTTCTCTTCTTTCTTTTAAAGCATCATCTCACACCATTGGGAAGATCTGAAAGATTTAATCTCTCAGCTTTTGAAGCTCACAGAAGCATTAATGTGTTTCATGCTTCCCTTCTAGCACCTGTGTTGCTCTAAATGTCCTTTATGCAGCTAACGACAGTTTGAGAGATGTGTGTGTATGGTGGATTTTCTTCTGAATAACACCAAGTTAAGGAATTGATCTCGCAAGTTTCCTGAAGAAATCGAAAAAGCTTTACAAGTTGGTTTTAAAGAGTCTATGAAAAGAACAAAACCACAAGTTTGTTTAGAAAAATATGGCATGGTTATTTTCCAGTACCATTCTACAGTATCTTAAGACTGGAGTGTGGCTAGAGCTGCCCTAATATGGAGATGGGTAGAGGAGATTGTCTTAAACTAGAACTGCTTTGGTTTCATGGACATAAGGTCACAGTTTGTAGGACAAGTGGTGGTGCTTTTCCTTAGTTCTATGTTTTTACGTGTGCTGTTTTTGTGTTGCTTTTTAGGTGCACCCTAATAGCAGCGATTATAATCTCATATGGACAGGATCACACTTGAAGCCCTACTTGCTGCGTTCCCTTACAGATATTCAGAAAGTCAATCATTTCCCTAGGTAAGGCCTTGATACCATGTTAGCCATATGTCACCTGCTGAAAGTTCACAAACACCATTATATCAGTTTGCTGTGATTTGGTTGGTCTGGGGAATTGGAACTGGTGCTACAGATAAGGATGGGTATTAATATGGCCATAGGACAGAGACAGTAAAACTGAAGAGTAGTTGCAGGTTAGGGTTTAGGCATCTGACAGGGTTACACATGCTTTAGTAACTAGGACAAAGGTGCTCTAATGTGGGTTTTCTTTATGTGGGGAAAAAATAGTCTTTTGTTTTGGGACTTCAGGTCATATGAACTGACACGAAAAGACAGACTCTACAAGAATGTCAGTCGTATGCAGCTGGCCCATGGATTCAAGACATTCCATATCTTACCTCAGACCTTTATCCTCCCGACAGAGTACCAGGACTTCTGCAGTAAGTGAATGGTTGATGATGCCCAGACCTAAAGTGAAATAACTGGGTGGGGGGAAGGGAATTACTTTCAATATCCCAGCTGTTGATCATGCCAGTGGTTAAGGCAAAAAAAATAGAGGAAGCTGGAAAGCCAGTAGAAAAGGCCTACATGATTTCTTTGATTTCTACTATGCTGCTTACCCCATGCCTGCATAAGACCTCAAGAAGCTGATGTGGGCTTAAGGCTCCAGCATGAAGCTGGTTTTGTGCAGTGTTGTTGATGATCAACTTCACAATATCCCTGATGAATATCTGGGAGTACTGAAGAGAGAAGTACCAAAAGGAGACATAGATTACTCTCTCTGCCTTATTGGAGCTGCTTCAAGGAAGGGGCTGTAGTAATTGCATTGAGTCCCAAGGGGTAAAATAGGACATCAGAAAAGTAGACTTTGATCTCCTCTTGGAGTTCTCTAAAGCTTTCACTGTAGGCAACATTCTTGATTCTTGCTCTTCTGTAAATAAGAAAAATCGAAGCTATTTCAGACTTGTGCTGTTTTCTTTTAACCAGATACCTATTCTAAGGACAGAGGCCCATGGATAGTGAAACCCGTGGCCTCTTCCAGGGGTCGAGGTGTCTACCTGATAAACAATGTAAGTGTTCAGCAAAAGAACTGTTCTTCAGTAACACTGTTGGCAAAACTATGCCAGCTTCCAGGCAAGAGGCATGGAAAGCTCTAAGCGGACATTGGCCCTCCTCTGGATTTCAACTGTACATTGGCGAGCAGCTCAACAATCCCGAGCAGCTGGCATAGCCTGCCTTTTGGTTATGCTGTGAAACAAAAAGCAGTCTCTTTCTTCATATGCTGTGCTTATCTTGCAACCTGCTTTCAAGTCTTAGTGTATTAGGAGCAAGTTCATGCTCCCTGAGACAGTTTGGGAAGCTGTGCTGCTTCATGCTCTCCTTGTGGCTGTCAGTAGGCTGGCCTTGGTAAGATTCCCAGAACTCTCCTTAGTTGCTTCCCTGTATGACATAAGCAGCTCTCAAATGGTCCCCTTGTGTCCCTCTACCCCTGGTAAAGACCAGTTAAATGAAACCTTATGTGATACAGTGGGATGTGTATCAATCTTAGAGCAGTGTTATCTAAGTACCAATGTGCTCTTACTGAGGTGTAATGGGGATGGTTCTTTGAATTCTCTGTGTTGGTTATAGTGTCTTTTGTGCTTCTGGGGCTTTGCAGGGAGTTAGGTGGTTGTAGGTAAGAAATACATCTGGGCAGGAGCCAAACACATGAGGGGATTCCAATAAATAATCTCAGCAGCAAAGCTGACTGGTGAGTCATTTTATTTTCACTCACTCAAACCCCTTTAGCCTCCCCTGTACTGAAGGGGTCATGCTGCCTCATCTGTTCTCTACTTGGATCATTTCCCATAAATTAAGGGAGCAGTTTGCCAAGTGTATGAGGTAAGTATTTCCAGAGTTGCACTCAGGTTTTTCTTTGCTTGAAAGAAAGGAATGAGTTCAGGCTTATATGGCACTTAACCATGGACTGGGGATAAGACCCTTCTGAGACCATTCTCCCTTTGGGTATATCTGTTCCAGAAACACTTCAGCTAGTTTGGCCCAAAGAATCATAGAATCACAGAACAGTTTGGGTTGGAAGGGACCTTAAAGACCATCTCGTTCCAACCCCCCGCCATGGGCAGGGACACCTTCCACTAGACCAGGTTGCTCAAAGCCTCATCCAGCCTGGCCTTGAACACTTCCAGGGATGGGGCATCCACAGCTTCTCTGGGCAACCTGTTCCAGTGCCTCACCACCCTCTCCATGAAGAAATTGCTTCCCGATATCCAATCTAAATCTCCCCACTTGCAGTTTACACCTGTTACCCCATGTCCTGTCACTACAGACCCTTGTAAAAAGTCCCCCCCAGCTTTCTTGTAGGCTCCTTCAGGTACTGAAAGGCGCTATAAGGTCTGCCTACCAGTACCCCCCCGCCCCGTCCCAAGTCCTTCTCCTCAGGGCTGTTCTCAAAGACTTCAGTTTCCTTCAGTGTGATGCCATTAAGGGAGTGTCTTTATTCTAGAATCTCATCACAGAAGTGTTTAAAAACAGCAACAAAAAAACCCCAACAAAACAACGAACCTTTGAATTTCTTTGATCCATAATAAAACACTGTCACTTGTGTGATGTGCTGTGGGAAGCTGAGCTTGTTTCTTTGTGTTGTCTGTGTGCGCTCTGTATGCCTAAGCTTCCTGCTCACGATGCTGGTGGTGTGGCTGAATACATGCAAAACTGAATAAAGGTGGGATGATGGGGTTCTCCTGGCTTTTTTGCAAACTGAAGGCTAGAAAATGTTTTGCAAGAAACTGTATGAGTAGTTAAAACTGGTTACAAGAGAGAGGTTTGCACCCAGGAAAAAAAAAGAAAGAAAAGCTTTTTCAACAGACTCCTGTGACTTTGTAATATATATTTGTCATAGCTCAGAACAGAAGGCTCTAACTACAAGGGTAGCATCTTTCTGTTCCAGTAGTCCCTGCTATGAACTGAACCTCAATAGAAAGTATTTACTCATGTAGGCAAAAATGTTGGATACCAGCCCAGGATCTAGCTATACAGATCACAAGCTGAGGAGTCGTTTTCTTCACTTGTGACTTCCTCACCAACTCGAGCTACATACTCCTTCCAGTATCTTCTAAACTTCTCCATGTGTTTGGTTAAACACTTCGGAAGCAAACAGAATGATGGTTGCTTATTAGATGAAAAGTACACAGGAAAAAACCACATCATTGCCATATGGCTGTTAAATCCACATTATACCCTAAGCAGCACTTAACTGGAAGCTTCGATGGGCAGTTTTTTTGACAATGTAATAATTCCTAGGCTTCTGGTTAGGATCTGGTGGTGATCACCTTAAGTATGAGTGATGTGTTTTCATTTGGGTTTTGTTTCCTCCCTCGCTGGACATAGTTGTTGGTACAGAGTGGCTTTAGGAGGGAAAGGCTGGAAAAAATGGTGGGTTTGATCTAGTCATCTTCTTAATTTATTAAGCCTCCTGGTTTTTCACTCTTGGGTTCTTTGTTCTTCTGTAGCCAAACCAGATTGTCCTGGAAGACAACATCCTGGTTTCTCGTTACATCAGCAACCCTCTGCTCATAGATGGTGAGTGTGCTTAGGACTTGCTTTTCTTTCTTCTCTTAACCCTGCACCTGAGTATCTCTCCAACCTTTGCAGGAATTTAGTTAAATAATTGAGTGATCTGTCTTCATACTAGAAAAATGTAACTAGACAATTCCTTAAAATCTGGAAGCTTTTCAACTGGGAAAGCGTCAGGCACCTATGTCAGCAGTGGATAATTGTTCTCAGTCTGTAGACATTCCTCAACTGGATACGATGTCTGAAAGATATTTCCACTCACTGACTCTCAACGACTGTATTTCAGATTTCAAGTTCGATGTGCGCCTTTATGTTCTGGTTACGTCCTACGATCCACTTGTCATCTATCTCTACGAGGAAGGATTGGCCAGGTAGGGGAGGTTTCTTCTTTCTCAGTGTACCTGCGCTTGGTGATCCAGAAACATCTTGGTTTGCCTCTGTAGTCCTGACACAATAGCAAATGGGGGAAGGGCCACTTAGGGAGTTCTGCAGAGTTTAAATGTGATACTTCATCATGCTGTGTCCCATCTTTTTTTTTAATATAGATTATAGGATCTTTAGTGAGGAACTTTATTGTGTGTGTAATAAATAAAGCAAGTTTTCAACTCTTGAGTTGAATGGCCACACACATCATCATTGGTGTGTTCATTCTCAAGGTCCAGTTCTTCTTGAAACCTCTTTGACCTCTTGTTGCCTTTGTGCCACTTGTCCAACCTCCAAGGTGAAGGGAATCTAAACTTTCTCAGTTTTGGTTAATCCTAACGACAAAAGCAGTTGGAGACCTGTTTTTGGCTGTATTGGCCTTTAATACTTTCAACTGCTCTTCTACATTTTAGGTCAGTAATTGTATTTTTTTCAGTATCAAGTGGGTTTAGACTAGTTTGCTGTTCTTAGACTGCAAGATGTATATTTTCTTTTGCATGTGAGTCATGAAAGATACTTAAGATTCCCAGGAGGAACAACTATCTACCAAAAATACCTGTTTATTTTCATCACAAGTTTAGCTAAATACCTGTAACTGATGAATTTGAAATAATCAACCCTTTGAATTTCTGACAGACCAGAAATTTAAGTGTAGTGGTGTTGGACAAGAGGCATAAGATCTCTTGAAACAATGATTGAATTTCTTTGAGCTTGTGAGCCAGTGTCCCTACTCTGATAAACCTGGGTGCTTTCTGGCTGAATTTTTGTTCTTTTGACATTCAGAACATTGACTTCTAGAGCCTGAAACAGTGTTGTAGTCAACCCTGAGCAAATAACTGAAGTTTTCTTTCTGGGTATCCATCCAGAAGCATCAGTCTCGGCAATACTGGACTTCCCATCTTGGTCAGATCGCATGTGGCAGTAATACTTGCAAATCCCTTTTCAGTGTTCTAAGATCCTTAAGTCTTTTACATGTGTAGGTTCCATTTGTTTAAACTATAATTAAATCTAGAGCACTTGATGTCCATATGCATGATCAGTACATGGTGTCCACATCTATGACAAGTGGAAC